CCAATGAACACTCAGGACTGGCTTCCTTTAGGATTGACTGATTTGATCTCCTACCAGTCCAAGGGACTCTTAAGAGTCTTATCAACACCACAGTTCAAAAGCATCAATTCTTCGGCACTCAGCTTTCTTTATGGTTCAACACTCACAACCATACACGACTACTGGAAAAACCATAGGTTTACCTAGACGAATCTTTGTCAGCAAAGTAACGTCTCTGCTTTTTAATATGGTGCTAGGTTTGTCATAGCTTTTCTTCCAAGGAGAAAGCGTCTTTTAATTGCATGGCTGCAGTCACCATCTGCAATGCTTTTGGAGCCCCCCAAAATAAAGTCTGTCACTATTTCCATTGTTTCCCCATCCATTTGCCATTAAGTGATGAGACCAGATGCCATGATCTTTCTTTAAATGTTGAGTTTTAAGCCAGCTTTTTCACTCTCCTGTTTCACTTTCATCACGACGCTCTTTAGTTCTTCTTTGCTTTCTGCCATAAGGGTGGTGTCATCTAAGGTTATTGATATTTCTCCTGGAAATCTTGATTCCAGCTTGTGCTTCATCCAGCCCAGCATTTCGAATGCTGTATACTGCATATAAGTTAAATAAACAGGGTGACAATATACAGCCTTAATGTACTCCTTTTGTGATTTGGAACCAGTCCATTGTTCTGCATCCAGTTCTAATTGTTGCTTCTTGACCTGCATACAAATTTCTCAGGAGGCAGGTCAGGTGGTCTGGTATTCCCATCTCTTTCAGAATTTTCCAGTTTGTTGTGATCTACACAGTCAAAGGCTTTGGTGTAATCAATAAAGCAGAATAGATGTTTCTCTCTAACTCTCTTGTTTTTTCTATAATCCGATGGACGTTGGCAATATGATCTCTGGTTCCTCTGCCTTTTCTAAACCCAGCGTGAATATCTAGAAGTTCTCGGTTCACGTACTGTTGAAGCCCGACTTGGAGAATTTTGAGCATTACTTTGCTAGCGTGCAACATGAGTACAATTGTGCGGTAGCTTGAACATTCTACGGCATTGCCTTTCTCTGGGATACATCCGTAAATAAATGTGGTTATGTAATATACTATTTTAACGTGCATTTCTTGCTTTATGTTTTTCTCTGCTAATGACTTATTACTAGGTGTTTATTTTATATTATTTTAGACTATGGAAATGATGTCAGACAAAAAGCAAATTCGAGCTATTTTTTTGAGTTCAAAATGGGTCATAAAGAAGTGGAGACAACTCGCAGCATCAACAACACATTGGCCTAGGAACTGCTAATGAAATGTACAGTGCAGTGGTGGTTCAAGAAGCTCTGCAAATGAGACGAGAGCCTTGAACATGAAGAGCACAGTGGCTGGCCATGGGAAGTTGACAATAAGCAATTAATTCAAAGTCATTATCAAAGCTGATCCTCTTACAACTACATGAGAAGTTGTAGAAGAACTTCCTTAACATGGACCATTCTCTGGTCATTCAGTATTTGAAGCAAACTGAAAGGTGAAAAAGCTTGGTAAGTGGGTAACTTATGAGCTAACCAAAAATAGTTGTTGTGAAGTGTCGTCTTCTCTTATTCTACACAACAACAGTGAACCATTTCTCAATCGGATTGTGACATGCAACAAAAAGGGGACTGTATACGAAGCACTGGCAGTGCTTGGACCAAGCAGAAGCTCCAAAGCACTTCCCAGAGCCAAACTTGCACCAAGAAAAGGTAATGGTCACTGGTGGTCTACTGTTGGTCTGATCCACTACAGCTTTCTGAATCCTGGTGAAATGATCACACCTGAGAAGTATGCTCAGCAAATCAATGAGACGCACCGAGAACTGCAACCCTTGCAGCTGGCACTGATCAACAGAAAGGGCCCGATTCTTCTCCACAACATAGGCTTCATAAGCGGAACAAACTGGGCTACAAAGTTTTGCCTCATCTGCCATATTCACCTGACCCCTTGCCAACCAACCAACCACTTCTTTAAGCAACTCGACAAGTTTTTGCAGGGAAATAGCTTCCACAACCAGCAGGAGGCAGAAAATGCTTTCTAAGAGTTCGCCAAATCCTGAAGTATGGACTTTTATACTACAGGAATAAACATACTTATTTGGCAAAAATGTGTTGACTGTAGTGGTTCCTGTTTTGGTTAGTGAATATGTGTATGACCCTAGTTATGATTTAAAACTCATTGTTTGAAACCACAATTACTTTTGTACCAACCTAGTACACACAAGCTGTGAAAATCAGCAAGATGGGTGCCTTATTTCAGGGCACACTACACAGAACACTGGGTGAAACTTGAAAGTCTGGACTCTGACTGTGTGATGCCTCCTGGAAACTTGATCTACCCTGTGCCTCAATTTCCCTGCATGCCCTGCTTCTATCTCAGAGACTCTGTCAAACAGAAAATCATTCAAACATGTTAGTTTAAAACACACACACATACACACATACAAAAACAGGAGAACATGCTACTGAATCACCAGGCTGAAATACACTTGAACCAAATGAAAATCTTGTAAAGGAGCACCCGGTTTCTTTGCCTGGGGAATGGATGGACAGGCAGCAAAGTGTGCCCGACAAGATGACAGGAAGGGGACCTGCAACACCTTGAGAGTAAAGTGAGACAGAAAAGAAGGATAAAGCTGTCTAACTCTGATGTGCAAGGTTCACTGCTACTATAGTAAGAAGAGTGAGTGGAAATATTTAAGTCTCCAGTCAAGTGAATTTTGGCAAGGAACCCTGCCACTGTAGACATGATAGTTCAAACATCATTGTATTTTGCAAAGAGAACTAGCAGGTTCTAAAACCACTCACTTGTTAAGTGCCAGCATACCCTGGAATGTACGTATAATAGCTGTGGTAGTTAGAAGAAGCTACTGAAATTTAGGGATTCAAGTTCTAATCCCAGGCCTTTGCTATTAAACTCAGCAATATAACTTTATATAAACTTATGCTGAGATTTATCTAAACATTAGAAAAAGACTATCTCTAAGTTTGCTTCCAATTTTCAAACTCTTAACACTATTTTACAGATAATTTGCTAAGAACTCATAAAATCTAACACTAAATATGTTAGCTACTGATATAAGGCACATACATTTATAATCATAGGTACTGAATGTCCTGAAGACAGCATAATATTAGAGGCTCCAGAATAAGGGCTTAAAAAATGTGGAAAATATATTGGGTAAAAGGCATCAAATTAACATCAACAACATCAAGTTTCAAGAAGGAGAATAATTATCATCTTTATTATCACTAAAAAGTACACTGAAATTTACACTAAGTAATTCTCAAAAGACATACTACTAATCTGAGGTTATAGATAATGGATTTCTGTCTTCAACACTTACATGCAGGTAAGAATGACAATTTATACTTTTAAATAACACAAAGCCCCCATTAAAAATGTAGGCTCAGAAACCCACAATGTAAAGCCCTTCAAGATGGAAATGCTCATGAAGCAAACTTAAATTTAAATGTTTTTCTCCAAACACCTTTTGTTTTTAAAACAAAAAAAATACAGAATGCCATTAATTTTCAGTAAAAAACAAAACCAAACCACAGAAGGGCAGAGAATGTCTACAGGAAATCCAGCTCTAACTTCTAAAGAACGTTAACACCCACATTTTGGTGACTTAACGTAAAAGGCACAGGAGTGCACCGAGGGGACATGCTGGAGCTCTGGGCTCTGGCTGTGAGTCTGGGTAATCAAGGGATCTCTTATCAATCTGCTTTTTCACTTGGAGATAAAGGTAAACTATAATGATCTGTAAGGCTCTATTTCGACTCCAACTATTCCTAGATTGTTATGGTCAAGTTTTTAGCTGCTTGAAAACAGGAACAGAAAACTGATTTTGCCCCCACTTCCCACAAAAACATCCTTTATCAAGAAAACCTTGAGTCTTATTTTCATATTTCCTTCCAACCAATAAGAAAAATAATAAAAGGAGACATATTTAGTGCTTGTGCATCTTCTAATCAGACACTATTAATCATTTCTTTTAAAATTAAATTACCTACCTCACTGGGTGTTGTGAGGATTAATTCATTAGTGTTTGTAAAGCACTTTGAGATCCTCAGGTCAAAGGCGCTATAGAAGTGCAAAGTAGTAGTATTATTACTAGATTCTTGCTTATTTAAGGAATTTCACAATCCTTTAAAAGCTAACTCTGTGTTATGATTTAGACATCTGTTCATAAAGCCCTGCATTTTATCCACATTACTTTTAACTCTTCTTGAAGACAGTATAGAGACAGGGACAGAATGTTTGGAAGCAAATGATAAATTAACTTTGATCTACAAATGGAGGGGGAGAGTAAGGGAAAATCTAGTGTGACAAATTTTGTTTAGTATAAAATTTTAGTGAGAAATCTAGTCAGTCAGGTTTAGAAGTGTGCCTATGTTATACACAAAACCAAACCAACCCTACTTTAATCACAGATTCTGCAATGAGAAATCCCTTTCTTCAAAGAGAAAGGAAAAGAATTTTCAAATCCACTTTAAAGAGGGGTAACTAACTTGTAAATTACATACATTACATGTGTACACATGCAACTATCATTTAAAACCTTTATACTTAAATTGCAGTAACTGTATTAGTATAAACTGATATCAAAATAGTTGAGCAGCTTTTTCCTTTAAACCAGGCTCCCACCCCTAATTACACAAGGCAAATTATACACTGAGAAGAGGTCAAAACAATTTTACTTTATGGAATTTTAGGAGAAAAAAAAAAGAGGGCCAAGGCTATAAAACCAGTTAAAATCTTGTATAACACACTTCTCACTCCTTTCTCTAACCAAATCCTCTCACAATTAAAACAACACACACATGGACACAGACATACAAAGCTAAAAGAACTAGAGCTATTTATACATTCAATATTCTGCTTGATATACAACAAATTCTTAAAGAAAAATTTGCCAACATCCTCTGACGAGATTCTCCAGCATAAGCTGCAGTCCCAAGAGCCAACTGAAACTCGGACATCAAGCTTTGAACACTTACCTCCTGCTCCTGCTGAAAGATGACAACTCTGCCACCTTTATCTCCGGTTGCGAGTAACTCTCCAGAATGATTAAACTCTACTGTAGAAATTATATCTGCTGTATAATTGAAACAAACAAACAAAAAAATTAGTTCTTCTCTCCCAACTCACGACAGAGTTTCTTACTAAGAACTCAGCTATGTTTTCCTAATATATTCCAAGTCTATATATCAACCTGCCCTCAGAAATAAAGTAAATCTAAAGTTCTTTCATGAATATTTTGAGTCATGAATATTTGGTTCACTCCTCCCACAAAACTCTCCCCAAAGTAAACCAATGACACTATTTTTGTTTAAAATAGGCACATAACAAACAAAAAATATCAGTGCTTTATTAATAATTCACTAAATTCATGAATATAAAGAAATCAACAATGCATGAAACATTCCATGATAGCACCATTAAACATTAATAATTATTGTGCTAATTTTTTCTTATATACTTCTGATAAGCTGATATACGCAAACCCAAAGAAGGTCTATAAAATTAAGACAGATATAACTAAAATGGGGAAATTCTTTAAATGCAAAAATAATTTCAGATAGAACTTTTAACAATCATAAATAAATAAATTCAAATTATGGCCTCAAACAAATACTTGTAAATAGAACACACTTATACCAGCAATGCTTTGTGCTATGCACCTTCAAAATGCACAGTTCTTCTTGTGGTTCCCACACACAGACACAGCAGGGGCTACTAGAATCAGTCATGTTACACACCCAAAGTCAGTGCTAACTTCACAGTCAAGTTCAAATAAAATTATCAGGTTTTTTCCCTTGCTTTTTGACACCAGTCATTTTCCTAAAGAAAAAAATCTAGGTTACAGAATTGGGCATTAAGATAAAGCAATCACATTACACAATTCCCCACTGTTACAAGTTCTTCACTACTAAGCATTATGCTAAATTAGGGAAGACCCCATCAAATGCATGTTACATAAAAAAGCAAACTCTTACTATGGGCGAAGGGTCATTTTCTTGCCAACATTAGCTCACTGTAAGAATTTTAAAAGTGACTTTATATAATAATGGAGAAGGAAATGGCAACCCACTCCAGGATTCTTGCCTGGAAAATCCCATGGATGGAGGATCCTGGTCGGCTACAGTCCACGGGGTCACAAAGAGTCAGACATGACTGAGTGACTTCACTTCACTTATATGATAAAGAACATTATATACTTTAAATTTTAGAACCTACTGACCAACATAGCACATCAATAAACTGACCAGCACTGCATTTTATCATTTTCATTTCAGTGATTTTTTCCGAGTTGAGTCTGATTCTGCAAAGCTTTCTTTGCTTCTTCCACTGTCTAGGTCCAAGGCACTTTATCTTTCTGGAACTCTCTGAGAATTTACTGAAAGTTATACACACTCTCCCAAGAACTGTACACATTTAAGTACACACAAAAATTTGCATGTAATTTCAAAAGGTCTGGACAGCACCCCATCTCCAGCTTAAAACCTTTGGCCCAGACAACTCACCATGGTTGGTGCTATCAGGAGGAAGGAACAAATCTAGTGTTTACGCTACATGTATATGTAACACCAAGGAGTAAAACTGAATATACTGTACTATTCTATAAAGCCCAACATCAACCAGTACTTAAAAGTCATTCTATTAGATGCTCTGTATTTACTTCTGTATTGAGTATAATAAGGGATTAAAAGTACACAATCCTATACATAGAAAACTATAAAACACTGATGAAAGAAATCAAAGAGGACACAAACAGATGGAGAAATATACCGTGTTCATGGATTGGAAGAATCAATATTGTCAAAATGGCTATACTACCCAAAGCAATCTACAGATTCAATGCAATCCCTATCAAACTACCAACGGTATTTTTCACAGAACTAGAACGAATAATTTCACAATTTGTATGGAAATACAAAAAACCTCGAATAGCCAAAGTAATCCTGAGAAAGAAGAATGGAACTGGAGGAATCAATCTGCCTGACTTCAGTCTATACTACAAAGCCACAGTCATCAAGACAGTATGGTACTGGCACAAAGACAGAAATAGAGATCAATGGAACAGAATAGAAAGCCCAGAGATAAATCCACGAACCTATGGTCACCTTATCTTCGACAAAGGAGGCAAGGATATACAATGGAAAAAAGACAACCTCTTTAACAAGTGGTGCTGGGAAAACTGGTCAACCACCTGTAAAAGAATGAAACTAGAACACTTTCTAACACCATACACAAAAATAAACTCAAGATGGATTAAAGATCTAAATGTAAGACCAGAAACTATAAAACTCCTAGAGGAGAACATAGGCAAAACACTCTCCGACATAAATCACAGCAGGATCCTCTATGACCCACATCCCAGAATTTTAGAAATAAAAGCAAAAATAAACAAATGGGACCTAATGAAACTTAAAAGCTTTTGCACAACAAAGGAAACTATAAGCAAGGTGAAAAGACAGCCCTCAGATTGGGAGAAAATAATAGCAAACGAAGCAACAGACAAACGATTAATCTCAAAAATATACAAGCAACTCCTCCAGCTCAACTCCAGAAAAATAAATGACCCAATCAAAAAATGGGCCAAAGAACTGAACAGACATTTCTCCAAGGAAGACATACAGATGGCTAACAAACACATGAAAAGATGCTCAACATCACTCATTATCAGAGAAATGCAAATCAAAACCACAATGAGGTACCATTACACACCAGTCAGGATGGCTGCTATCCAAAAGTCTACAAGCAATAAATGCTGGAGAGGGTGTGGAGAAAAGGGAACCCTCTTACACTGTTGGTGGGAATGCAAATTAGTACAGCCACTATGGAAAACAGTGTGGAGATTTCTTAAAAAGCTGGAAACAGAACTGCCATATGACCCAGCAATCCCACTCCTGGGCATACACACCGAGGAAACCAGATCTGAAAGAGACACGTGTACCCCAATGTTCATCGCAGCACTGTTTATAATAGCCAGGACATGGAAGCAACCTAGATGCCCATCAGCAGACAAATGGATGAGGAAGCTGTGGTACATATACACCATGGAATATTACTCAGCCATTAAAAAGAATTCATTTGAATCAGTTCTAATGAGATGGATGAAACTGGAGCCCATTATACAGAGCGAAGTAAGCCAGAAAGATAAAGACCATTACAGTATACTAACACATATATATGGAATTTAGAAAGATGGTAACGATAACCCTATGTGCAAAACAGAAAAAGAGACTCCTATGTATAGAACAGACTTGTGGACTCTGGGAGAAGGCGAGGGTGGGATGTTTCAAGAGAACAGCATTGAAACACGTATATTATCTAGGGTGAAACAGTTCACCAGCCCAGGTTGGGTGCATGAGACAAGTGCTCGGGCCTGGTGCACTGGGAAGACCCAGAGGGATTGGGTGGAGAGGGAGGTGGGAGGGGGGACCGGGATGGGGAATACATGTAAAAAAAAAAAAAAAAGATACACTATGGTTGTGATTAAAAAAAAAAAAAAAGTACACAGTCCTTGCACTAAAGTACATTATAGCACAGTTACAGAGAGGAAATAAGCAGGGCTAACTATTGGACAGAGCAAATAGGGACATCTTACTTGTAGGTCAGATTCTAAAATCAGGGAATAAGGGGGGAAAAAACTCCCACACACAGCAAAAATTATCTTTAAATTTAAATCCCTCAGACAGGCACCACTTTGGAGATGCAAACTTTCTCCTGTTCTTTTAAGTCCAACTCAGCCAGTTTTCCCTACAGCATTCATACTTTGTACTTCCCATGAAATGAACTAGTTAATTTGGCTACAAAGTCATGCTATACCAAAAACTCCTGACCTCTGAACTCCAGTATATACTCTTGGCTTGGTAAAATGCTCACACTTCATACCAACTCCAGATTCATTCTCCTGTTCACTCAATGGAATAACAGGAAGTCATATAGGCTGAGGAACCCTAGAAACAACTGACCTAAACAGCAAGAGGCTGACTGTCAGGAAACAAGAGCCAAAGATTTACACTATAAGTCAACCCACATTAAATCCTTGAGGGTGGGAAATACAGAGAGAAAGGCAAATAATTTTCTCATTTCAGCTATTTTTAAGGTACTATTGTTTTGTTGACTATTTATCTTGCCAAAAGCCAATGAATAAACATAAAATTTCAGAAATAGCTAACTAAGACACTGATGCTTAGATGAACAGTACAGTGGAATTTTATCTGGGGGAGAGGTACGCAGATTCATGGCTTCCTCACTGATTTTTTTTAACTGCATATATTTCAGATACGTAAGTTATTTTCATGACTTGTGTGGTGGAATTAAATAGGCACATGCCCAGGTGTTCCTTCCTCCTTCCCATCGAATGAAGCAGAAATGACATGCCGTGACTCCTGCAGGCTCGGCCGTCCACACGCGAAGTCAAACAGCCACGGTGCACATAAGCCCCTATTAAACTTCCAAGTGTATGAATGCTGTCGAAGTTGTCCTCAGTTGTAAAATGCCTAGATCTTACAAGGTCTTCTTGGGAATATGACATATAAAAAGGATGAATAACAGGGAGAATAAAATCAAATTCTGCTTTATGGTCCAGGAGAAATTTGTCCAGGAACCCATTAAGGAGCACTCCGGAAGTGAGCTTTGAGCTGTGTGTGCCTCGCAGCACACTACTATGCCAGGAAGGGGGTATGGGTTTGCAACCACCCGAACCTAAGACCTCCAGCCTGGAGCCCGCACTTGACCTCAGAGTGCCATACAAACACTTTTGCTCTCAAGTATGCCACGATGTGGAAAAGATAAGGAAGCATGGCTCTAAAAACAGTGCTCCCATATGGTGAGTAGCGATACCCAGATGAGACTGGTCAAATACTGCTATCTTGTGTTTTTGAAAATAACAATAACTCTGCTCCTAGAAAATATTCTTCATTGCTCTGATTTCTATACCATTAAAAAAAAATTACACAGTAGATGATTGCAGGAATAGCACTGTTCAGCAGAAATCTGTTACCATAGAGAGGTCCTATATCTGCGCTGTTCAATAAGCCACGTGTGGCTCCTGAATTTTTAAGTTTAGCCATATATGGCTAGGGG